ACACACAACCACAAACACACAACCACAAACACACAACCACAAACACAGCACACAACCACAGCACACAACCCGAGGACCCACAAGCAACATCGAGAACTACAATACTAACGACTATGGCAACATGCTCCTCACTATGGCATCAAGACAAATGATTGAAATGTCATGGTGGGGATCACTCGAAGTAAAGTAATTTTTTGTTTTTCAGAGAAGATAAGAGAACACGAAAACAGCTGGAAGGAGAAGTGTATGTGGATTATATGCTGGGATTTAAGTTTTTAGATTCTTGTGATTCCCCTTTGAAATGAATGGTAAAGTATCCTCACAGCATTGAACACGTTTCTTCGAGGGCATATTTGTTGAAGTGTTTTATTTTTGTTAATGCAGCAACTACCGTTTTCCACAGACCCAGCCACTGAATCCTCGAGCGCATGAGGCACAGGAGGCTGAGCTCGTTGTTTGAGTGACAAGGATCGGCCCATTCCCTCGGAGGTCTCATTTGGGGACGCCGGGGCTAGAGCGGCTAGAGCTCTCTTTGAATGAGATGGTGAACCCCTCTTTATTTTGTGAGATCCAACGAAAGTATAACAAGTAACAAGAAGTAAAGATGGATCTTGGATGAACACTCCAAAACACCTTGAATTCTTCTTTTAACATTTGAAGGTAGAACAAAATCTGAGGAGTCTAAGGAGGAAAGCAAATCAGTCTAAGGCATAACATGAATTCACACCCATACCTCCAGTCGGGGCTCGCCATACCTGCAGCGTCCATCGGTGCTGCGTCTCGGTGTGTTCTGCGTCTCGCTGCGGAGAGCACATCGGAGCGACCCGGTGGACGGGGCTCACGCCGAACGAACGAACTGTGAGAGCAGAAGAAAAAGATGGGACCCAAGGACTGACATTCATCAGACCCTTCCGGGTATGGGGCACAGATGAGCACAGAGAAGGCAGCTCATACCCTTGCCAACTTATTTTGTACCCTGGTTGACCGCCGATCCTTCTAGTTTGTACTGAACTTAACTGGCGCAATCACAAAGCTCACAATTTGTTACAGGTAGTGTCATTTCATGTCACCTTGTGCTGGAAGTTGAATCGAGGACTAGAGTACTTGGTCCACAGATAGATCCAGAGAGGCATCCATGAGATCTTGTAATCTCTAGTCTAGTCGTTTGCGACACTTCTACGGACTTGTATCTGTTCCGACGCACTGCATGGGACTTCACTATTTCCATAAAGTGGGTTGGTTTGGAGGGTCAATATACGTAGGTCAACAAGTATTCCTGTCCCAGACAGGTCGTGCTTGGGGTGTGACATTGGCTGCCATTGTCTGGAGGTTTTTCGGTGCCTTTGCGGAGCCCTCCACACGAAGGGGTCTTCAACATCATCCCAAGAGTGCAAGTTCGGTATTCTTCCCCAGCTCCTCCATGGTGAATGAGTCATGAATCGTCATGATCTTCTTCTCACCTGAGATTTTCATCGGTCCTCACATTCGCTGCTCGACAGCAGCCCGAAGTGTTCCTGTTCCGACTCACCGGGTTCGACTTGGGTGGGTTGGGGCCAGGACACACCGAGCGTTTGGTGTTTCCAGAAGGTTTAAGGTCACCTGATCCCACTCGCGACCCATGGGACTGCCATAGGACTGCCGAGAAACGGCCAGGGTGGTTTGGGGGGGGTCAATGTAGGCATATATTCCATACATGGAGTGTATAGGTATGTCACTTCCGCAGAAGTTCAACCGATGGTCACCACCAGCTGAACAGTCTCAAGGAATCGGCCCTTGGCCCGAGTTGCTTGAGGCCTTTGCTGAGTTGCTTAGGCCTTTGCTGAGTTGCTTAGGCCTTCAGTGAGAAAGGGAAGTGTGTTCTGTGTGTTTGAACAATGGGAGGAGGGGGGAGCAAATAATTGGAGTATGCCATGGTGATCTGGACTTGTGTGACCTATTCACCCACTGAAGCCAATGATTTTTGTTCATTTGCTTTTCATCATGTTTCATCCAGTCTAGGGCAATGAGGTCCAAGCTTGTCTTGACATCTACAAACAAAGCTGTATCACATCATGTAGGCTGTTAATGGCTGTTTCATCATGGCACTCAAAGCCGTAGGTTGACCTCCGGCAAGGTCGTCTGAGAGGATTTGAACCAGGGAAGCCAACACTGTTGGTCTACCACGGGAACCGTGGACCAGCAGTCTACATATATCAACAGTTCCACCAGGGCCACACGAGCAGTGTGGGTCCACACTCAGGTCTGGCAGAACTTGCTTCCACTCGGCTCAAGGAGCGGATCTACTTGTCTTTGGGACCCGCAAGAAAAAACAGCCAATGGGATCCCCTAAGAAGCGAAGCTGCGGATCAAGCCTTCGGCTGCACGACCCTTCTTAAGCACATTCTAAGCGCAGGTCGACCGCACAGTGAAGAGCGGCACTAAAACCATGGACATGGGGCAGAACTTGCAAGGCACTGTTCGCCACAAAGGCGAAATGGCCACAGACAAGGTAGCAGACATGGTCGCTTGTGCATGTTTTTCGAATCTTTTTCGGAACGCTCCAACTTTTAAAGGGCCATGCTGTCCGTGCCCATGATGGGTGGCAAGGCATCGTGGGGATTCACCTGGTGGTGCAGGAGTGCAGGACCAACCGTTGCTCGTGGTAGGATGGGACTTCACCTCATATGTTACCCTGCTCCCTAGGGATCCAGTCGTGCCTTCTCAGATGATTGGACATTGGAGACTATTTATGTAGGAGGGCTTGGAGGGCCCACAAGTACCTTCTCCTGAGGTTCGGTGGCAGTGGATCCCGACAGGGACTGTAATCTATGATCCACGACACGACACATGTGTTCTTCAACCATTTTATCAGTGAGGGGACAAGGGGTGTTAGGCTGAAGCGGTATTGGATTACGAATCAGTGCTTTAGTGAGTAATGACTATTGCCTATTGCATGAAAAGTTGTGCAAACATTAAAATTATACGTAAAAATTGAAACAAAAAAAGGCCAAGACTTAGAAGAAAGACCCCGCACTCATCGTTATCACTTACTAAACCATACTAAAACCTGATGAGAACTGCAAATGAAAAGACCATGAGCATCAGGAGTCTGAAAGTCTAATATGTCATCTCCAAATGACTGGATGAAAGCAAGCAAAAGGCACAGTCCAACTCGAGTGAAGCCAACGCGGTTGTTTTCCCTTTCACCCAACTCTTTGGACGTGTTTGGACTCTTTGGACGCGATTCTTCACCTCATGTGTGGGAATGTCGGAGTCCAAGGCGTCGTTGGAGCAGACTCGAAGTCCAGTTTCTCCTCGTTTCCGTGTCAGCATGTCCAATGTGCTGCTCTGACGAAGTCACTGTATGTGGCGCCCCGTCCAGCCAGGCGCCATACCAGCACGGCCCAGGTGCCGCATGGTGGATTCCGCGGGGGGGGTTGCGGATGGTTTGTGTGTGTGAGGGCCGTCCGTTATTGCCAGTAAAGGAATTTAGATGACATGTTAAAACAAACATTTTGCGAAAGGGAAACTGCAGTCCGCGAAAGGCCGGCGATAGGTCGGCGAAAGACATGTGCCAACCTGGACATTTAATGTGCCTATATATATATAAATGTGACACATCCTTTTCCCGAGCAGAAACATGGATTTTCGCGAAAGGGCCGCGAAAGGCCGGCAATAGGCCCGCGAAAGGGCGTATTGCCTGGAAGGGCATCTGCCCATCCATGGCCTTGAAGCATTTGCTTCAAGTATGGGTTGACAAAGGGCGGCCTGCTTCTCAGCGCACCAAAAGTACTTAGATGTTCCAAACGCTGTGAACATTTGTGAACTCAGTGCAACGGAATAACCTCATCACAATGCACGAAAGGAAACCCTGTGTTTTTCTGCAAACGCGAAAGGACCGCGAAAGGCCGGCGATACATGGCGATACAAGCCAGAAAAGAAGAGCTTTGTTGGACAACCCCCGTGTGGTTTTTCTCCCCGACATGGTCCTTGTCACCACCTTTGCTCCACCCTTGGCTCGGGGCCCCTGTGGCTCCGGACTCCAAGACCGGATTGCGCGTGGGCCACTTACCGCCTACCGGGGTCTCCCGGTCATCCATTGGTCGTGCCCAATCTAGGCCGGCCAGGTGGAGTCCACAGATGGATCCACGAACAGCTGACGGTTCAGATGTTTGACTTTTGATGGCTGTTGACTCACCATTTTGTGAGGTGAGGATTGTGGTGGTTTCAACATAGCCCCAGATCTTGGGCATGGATTCCATGAAGATTTGGGTGTGTATTAAAATAGGTCTCGACCTCCCAGGCAACGCTGTCCTGGAAGAAGGACCAAAGAGACCCAACACCCATTTGTTGGGGGTCCCAGCAGAGGTTTTTTATGACCCTAGTTCGATTATCCCATAGGTACCCCAGGTTACGGGTCCTAGTTCAGGTCACTTCACCTCTGTTGGTCTCTCTACAAAAGCATAGCATGGATCCACATGGTCACATCCCTGGCTTTTCGATGCACCGCGTCGACCTGACCTGACGCAGGGCTCCGTCCGTTGACCTTGCTCGCTCAACTACTCCCCAACGAGGCGATTTGCGGGGAGGAGAAAGTCCGGGAGATGGGTGTACATGTACGTATACCCTTCATCCCAGAATCGGTCGCGTGGAAGATGCAACTTGCATTCGAAGAAAAAAACCACGCGAAAGGCGGCTCTACAGCCAAAACTGGAGCAAGGTCCAGCACAGAACGTGCCACGGTGGTGGGTGTCGGAGAATGACCTATAAAGCCTGTTGGGGCTTGTCATCATTGATTTTGAAGGGACACAGGACCAGAGAAAATACAGGACCCCGTCTACTTGGTTCTATTGTCCAAGTCTTCCGCCCAGAGATGAACACCTGCACTTTCCGGGAACAATCATGGTTAAGTGGAAGGCATGGCGCTGATTATTATACGGATGACCATGAAGTCCGAAAACCAAACAGCTGGTGGTGAACTCCACTTCCATGTTTGTTGGAGGGAGTCTAATTTCCCGTTTGGGCTCAGCCCACACCACGTCCGATAAGAAGGTCGGTGTTTTGCAGGGAGGGAGGGTAACTTTCCAAGGTGGCACTGGAGTGAACGCCTGAGCCTGGGTGGTCACATCTCTCCGAGCCCGGTGTTGAAAACACATCGGTGTGAGGTCCTTTGCTATGCCTTCCTGGGCATCTTTCCCATGTGCGCCGTCGGTGTCCTGCCGAGTCCTTTACAGGGGGGACGCCTCTAAACGCGAAACGCGCTCCAGCGTCGCTGTGAAGTTGACTCCACGGGCAAAGGGTTGGAAGACCTTGAAGGAGTGTGAAGAACCACGTGGTTGAACTGCCATGTTGGAAAATCTGGTGCTTCCTTTGCGGATACGGAAGGGCATTTGGGGATCCTCTAAAACTATATCTATAGCTGCTGAGGATGGCTACAGGCCGACCCGATCCACAAAGTTTGACGCCTGGAGAAGTGGCTTTGTCGTCTGAAACCCATTTTTTCTTGGAACATCAGTCCAGCTACCTCTATTCTTGAGCAAGCAAAGCTGTCCTTTTCACACGACACAGGACCAACGACACAGTTCTTCAGTGTTCTTTACAAACTCTTTGTGCATGCACTTCTTTGTGCAATTAGATTTCGACCCTATCGTGCTTACCCTCGATCCTTCGCTCGGATGCACCCTCCACCAGTCTCCATGGTGTTTCTGGTGGCCATTTTGCTCAAGCTTAGCTTTTGTCGTGCGAGACTCTCAGTGTGATCGCCAAAGAGCCTCGATGACGGCGTTGTTCGTGAACTCCATGAGAGCCCCAGCGCTTGGAGCTCTGGCCCTGGTCGCCTTAGCCAGCGCCTTGCGCGAGGAACAGGCGCGATGCGACGCGATGCGACGCGCGGGCGTTTTTCGTGCGGCGCTACGTCTCAACGGACGCATGGTGGCTGAAAGGGTCGCGAGGTGCAGGACTTGCCCAAAGAATTGTTCTCTGAAGCTCCAAATCAGTGCTGATGGGAAAGTTGTGGGCTCCAGGTTTAAGCCTTTGTAATATGGGGGAGACCTAATTGATTGCAATTGGTTCAGACCCATGTCAGTGGTTAGAGGAACTTGAAGTTGGCTGTCCTAGTTGGCGGAGAATCTGGCACACCCCACTGGATTCAGAGTAGATGATGGCACTGGCACCCCAAGATATCATACAAATCACATCAACTCACCTAAACTTGGACATTTCTGGCACCTACTCTGGACCTTCCAGGATTTGGTACCGAGGGCTATCTGAACCGAACCATCGCCCAACACCCAGGTTCTTCCCGCGTTTGGAACCGTTCCAATGCCACCCCCGGGATTCCGGAATTCGCCCTGACCGACCACCAAGGGCTCCGGGGTCCGACCTTCGATCCCAACGTCCTGGACATGGACGTTTTGGGACGTTTGTGACTATAGATGCCATGCCCACCGTCTAGCCCTGCCCTGAAATCAACCACTCCAGTAGCGACATGGAGGAACTCTGGCCAGGCGGGCGGCACACGGAAGGACGTGCCCCGACGCTGTAGCAAGGGCTGGAGCCTGGTCGCTCGGCGAATGAAGTACAGACGAACGCAGGATCGTACGACATGTGGGCAAAAGGAGCTGAGCTGGATCAAGATCAAGCACTTCCAGGGTGCTTCATGATTGCCCCGGACTCACATTCACCGGATGGGTCTGAAATGGGTCTAACACCCCGATACTTGGCATGTCTTCAGATGTCTTGCATGAAATGTGGCAGATTTGCCCAGATACTCCAATGATTGTTGAGATCTAGAGAGTTATGGATATGATACGATACGATGGATGGAAAGACTGACCACCTGTGGGACACTGGAAACTCTTACCACTCTTACCGCGTTTTTCTTGTTTCAAGAAGTGCGACGAAACCACCTTTTCCCCATGGAGCGCTCACGAAACCTCTCAAAACTGCCGTGACTCCTTCCACCCGTGGCACGACTCACCGTGGACTCCGGGGACCAGACACTCTTCAGGGTGGCTCCGAGTGCTGCTCCTGTGGCGATCGCATGGGCTCGGGCGTGGATCAAGACCTCGAAGTCGTGTTGGATCATTGCGAGTGGGTTGCCTGGCAAAAGGTGATTACATGGTGAACGCAGGGTGAAAACGACACAACAAAAAAACAAAGGATAGACATAGACTCCCTGAAATCATCATGCATATAATATATAACATACCTGGACCCTGAAACGATGTCTTTTTTCTGTCTCGCCAGAAAACATGACACAGAAACATGCAGCAAATTCGCGATAGAAAACATGACGCCAAAATGACGCAGAAGTGACAAAAAACAACACAGAAGTAACAAACATCGACACCAAAACTGTTTGTTGTGTGTTGTTTTTGAGCTTCGCCTGAAAATTGCCCTCACCAGAAACAAAATACGTGTTTTGCGGGGTCTAGGTATAGCCTCCATCCTGGATGACCCTTGTCCTCAAAAAACAACACATGGTTTTGTGTTAAAGAGGAAAACACTTGGGTCAAACACCTGAATACACCAACGAGAAGCTAACATGCCGCAAATTGGGACATGAGAACGTAATCATGTGGGGCGTTAATGTCTCAGAGTCTTAGTCTTAGACGCTCTTTGGGTGCAAGAGTTTGGCTTTGCGTGGCTTGGTCCTTTTTCGTGGCTACTTCGTTTGCTTTACACTTGCCCCACCACTTCCGCGTTTCGATGAACCCACAAACATCAGGATCCGGGACCGTAGAGGTCCGTGGCCAGAACGGTGCCAGGGTCCGGCCTACACCCGGTCCTACACCTGAGGTCCGGCCGCTTCGGCGCCAGGTTTGTTGGTTTGTTCGTGCTCACTCGTCGCTGAGGAGGACGGCGATGCCATCGCTTCCAAGACTTGTTGCCCGGTTTGGACCAGGGATTGCAAGGACCGGATGATGTCCACACAGAAGCAAAACAGCAGGCGATGTCTGAGTTTGACTCCACGAAAGATCGAATCGGCTCTGAGGATCTCTGAGGTATGCTTGATATGTTTGGGGGTTTTGAGGGTATTTCTTTGGGATTGCTTCAGGTTTAACAATATACTTTGGGCCCTGCCCCCCCACAGTAACAGTCGTAAAGGGTCAGGGCCCTTAAACCATACCCCCAAAAACAATAATCATATTCAAAGTCATTAAAGGAAATTGGATTGTAAATTCTGGTCTAGGAAACGCAAAATGATTGGAGTAGTGGGCGGGTTAACTCAAAAGAACACAAACCTGAACATAATTGCAAACCAACAACAACCAGTATCATCCCAATCCCTTCACTAATTTGTCAATCTCAAGTGGCAATTCAAATTATGATATGATGGCTCAAGACTGGAACGGTAGCAGGTGGCCAGGATTGCGTGCTCTCACAGCCAAAGGAAAGAGGAAAGAAAGAAAGGAAGGGAGATTGTGATTACACTGGGAGCAGGATGAGAGCCAAGTCCAAATTGGCTCTGGCTCCCTGCTCCACCCCCTGGCTTCCGGCTCCCCACCCATCGCTCCCGGCTCCTCACCTTGTCGCTCCCGGCTCCCC